TATTTTAGAGAGAGCACACGTGTATGAATGGTGGGGAGGGGCAGAAGTGGAGGGAGACAAACCGACTTCCCTGCCAAACATGGAGCCAGATTTGCAGCTCCATCCCAGGACCCTGAGATCATGACCTGAGCCAAAATCAAGAGCTGGCTGCTTAACCGACTGAGCCACCCAGGCACCCTAGACATTAGTTTTATATTTGCTGTTTAGATACTATGAGTAGTCTTTTTCTAGTTCCACAAAGAGACTTTAGTTTTAAGGAAGTCTTTTCACCATATAAAATAGCATTCCCTGCCATTAGAGATAAACATCATCCTTCATCATAAACTACTTTTTCCTTTATTTGATGTACAGAGGCAGTTGTGACACAAAATTGGCAGAAAATGTTCCATTCCCCTTTTTTCTCATTTTTTTTTTCCTGTCAGGAAGTTCTCACTTTGTCCTTCAAATAAATTTTATCTATGGGGTTTTAAAAACAGAACCAGTAGCCTAGCTTTGTTATTCCCTGCAGAAACACTTTTAAAGAGAGTAGAAATAGTATTTTATACAGTGTTTTTTTTAAAATTTTTTATTCATTATTATAGGTTTCTCCTATTTTTCTTTTCTTTTTAAAATTAATTTCTTTTTTTTTTGATGTAGTGTTCCATGATTCATTGCGTATAACACCCAGTGCTCCATTCAATACCTGCCCTCTTTAATACCCATCACCAGGCTAACCCATCCCTCTACCGCCTTCCCCTCTAGAACCCTCAGTTTGTTTCTCAGAGAAATAGTATTTTATAAACTGAATTTGAATGTCAGAGTTCTGAAGCTGTATTTTTAAAGATAATATTTAAGAAAATATTTGGTGGACTTTATTTTTACTGTTTCATTGCAATAATATTCCTAGAGAGCATATTAGAATGTTACATTGATTTTTTTTCATTTTCTTTTTGCCATATTGATTTTGAAACCTAAAGTCTTTTGCTTTCTCTTTAAGGGATATTACAAACCATACTTAGAATATACAAATACCAAAATGAACTTAGTAAAAATCTGTGTTGGTCTTATAGTGAGTTTATTAATAATTATGTTACCATCTTTTGTCAGAAAGACCACAGTAATGAAAACCATATTTCACCTTTTTTATACATTGGATGAGATCACCAGATGCTAATGTCAAGAGCACATCAACAGGAAAAGTTGAAAATGTGAGCTGCATGGAAAAATACTAGAACCAGTTAGCTCTCAAAAAACATGACCAAGTATAGGGGAAAAAAAGATTTTGACTATGAACTGGCTTTAGGTCATTTAATAATGGAAAGAAGCAGCAAGATGGCTTTCTTTTAGATTATTTTAAGGTTTTTAATAATAGCAGAAAATACTGTGGAAATTGGCCCATCTTGGTCCGTGTTTGAAAACTCAGGGTATTTTTGTTTTTCTAACAATTTATTATAATTTTCAGACAGAAAAGTTGAAAAAATTGTACTGTGAGCATGTATCACTACCTAGATTCTACTCTTAACATTTTGCTGTATTTGCTTTATTACATAACTGCCCATGTATTCATTTTTCTTTCCATTTATTATTCCATCTTTTGTATATTTCAAAGTAAGTTGTACACAGTCAAGTACCTTCAGTCTGGAATGCTTCAGCATGCATAATATAACTAGAGTTCAATATTTATGGTTCTTTTTTGCAATGAAGTGCAAAGATCTTCTGTACCATTTAATAAGTTTTGGGAAATGCATACACTTGTGTAACTCAGAACTTTCTTGAGATAAAATATTGTCTTTGCTCTAGAAAGATTTCTCATGCCCCATCCAAGTCAAGTCCTGCCCTTAATCCCACCCTCAAAGGCAGTCACTCTTGGGATTTTTTTATGATAATTAATTTAATTTGTTCTAGAATGTCATATAGATGGAATCATTCCGAATATACTCTCTTTGGGTAAAAGCTTCTTTCACTTAGCTTTGAGATTCATCTGTGTTGTTACCAGTATTCATTTTCATTGGTGAATAGTATCCTATAGATATACCTCAGCTTATTTATCCATTCGCCTGTTGATGGATATTTGAATTCTGATCAGTTTGGAGCTATTAATTAATAAAGCCAATATGAAAAAGCTTGTACAAGTATTTTGTGAACACATACTTTCCTGGTTTGTAAATATCTAGGAATGGAATTACTGCATCATAGGGTAGATATATGTTTAGTTTTTTTCTGAAACAGTTTTCCAAAGGGTTTGTACCATTTTATACTCCCACCAAAATCTATGAGCATTCTGGCCATCCACACCAACACCTGGTATTGTCAGCCTTTTTAATTTTAACTGTTTTGCTGGTGGATGTGTAGTGGTATTTCATTATGTTCTTTTTTTTTTTAGAGATTTTATTTATTTGAGAGAGAGCTCCAGAGAAAAAGAGAGCAAGAACATAAGTGGGGGAGGGGCAGAGGGAGAAGCAGGCTCCCTGCTGAGCAGGGACCCCAGTGCGGGGCTCCCCAATGTAGGGCTTAATCCCAGGACTCCGGGATCATGACCCGAGCCGAAGGCAGACGCTTAACCGACTGAGCCACCTAGGCATCCCTCATTATGTTCATTTTTAATGCTTATTTTAATGTGTACTTATCTCCCATCCAAGTACTAACCTGGCCTGACCCTGCTTAGCTTCCGAGATCACACGAGACTGGGCATGTTCAGGGTGGTATGGCCATAGACTAATGTTTTCTTATCTAATGACTAATGATGTTGAGTACCTTTTTATGTGCTCATTAACCACATCTGTCTTCCTTTGTGAAATGTCTGTTCAAGCCCTTTGCCCATTTTAAAATTTGAATATTTGTCATATTATTAAGTTGAAAAAGATCTTTATATGTCCTGGATACCAGTCTTTTGTCAGATATGTTTTATGAATATTTTCTTCTAGTTTGTGGCTAGCCCATTCATTTTTTAAATGATGTATTTAGTGTAGAACTATTTCATTTTGATGAATCCCACTTTATCAGTAGTTTTATTGCTTTCTGTGTGTTATCTAAGAAACCTTTGTCTACTTGGTGTCAGATTTCTAATATATATTTATTACTTATAAATTAGTGTATCCAATAAATAAATTACTTCAATCGTAAAACTTTTACCCAATAGAGCTTCTTATTTATGACCTTAGCGTGGCTTAAAAGAAATGTAAATATCTTAACAAAAAATATAAAGACAGTTGTTTTTTTTAACACCCAGGATGTTTTCTACTTTTGTTGAGTATTATATTTAGAGAATGGGGAGGGATGGCGGAAATGTATTAATCTCAGGCAAGGGAAAAGAGGGTATAAATTTCTGTGAGAAAGACCACTAGTTCTAACACCCTTCTCTCTTCACTCCTCCCTCTTCTCTGTACTGGCTGTTGCCCACCTTCTCCTTCAACTCTTCTCTCTGACCCAAGGGATCATAGCTTCCAGGTCTCCTGATCCCAACATATTAGCAGGGGTGGCCATCTAGAATTGTTAATAGAGCTGAAATTTTATCTAAATTTTAAGACACATTAGAGATTCTGAATGGTTTATGAATTTGCACTGTCTCTGAGAGAACTATCAGATTATTATTTTTTAAAAAGCTTTTTTAAAAATATTTTGTTTGTCAGAGAGAGAGAGATAGAGAGCACAAGCAGGAAGAAGTTGAAGGCAGAGGGAGAAGCAGGCTCCCTGCTGAGCAAGGAGCCGATGTGGGACTGGATCCCAGGACCCTGGGATCATGACCTGAGCCAAAGACAGACGCTTAACCGACTGAGCCACCCAGGTGTCCCAAGAACTATCAGATTATAAGTAAAGCAGTGATCTGTATTAATAGACCTACTTTCACAGATACTCAACCATTTTCTCTATTAGAACAAAAACAGTGATTATTGGTAAAATACTTGAGCCTAAAGTCTGACTGTTCTGCAGGCCTATGTCAACATTTGATTGAGGAGAAATATATCAGAATATTGAGAGGATCTCCAGGAGCATTATGGATGAGTAATTTTGGATATTAAAGGTTTTAGTTTTCATCTCATTTTAAAAAGAGCTTTTATAGATTTTTATTTCATTAGAGAAAAATACAGAGAAGCAAAAATGAAAACAAAAAACAAAACCAAGAATCTACCCCACCCCAGAACCAGAATGGATGTTGTAGGTGTGACTGAGTGTACTTTGGGGCTCATCATACAAAGAATCAATAAACATGAAGAGTTTTGTAAGAAATGGGAAACCCCAGTACAGATATATAGTACAGAATTAGAGAATTCTGGTTTGCCACACATCTCCTACTTAAGGAAGTTAATCAGAAGTCCAATGTCTACAAGGTTTACCTGATCCTAATTAGGAGACCTCTGGGTTCTCTAAAACAGAATGATGATCTTCACAGGACTATGGAATGAAGAATAATAGTTCACTCAGTTATCAGCAGGAATATTGTCCTTGCTTTACTTATCAAAATTAATTGAATAGAGTAGCCATTTGTGTGTGTGGGTGTGTATGTTGGCATGGGTTATGGGTTTAGGGGTTTGGTGGTGGTGACAGTGTCTATATAATTGTCTATCTATGTATATATATAGTCTATACATATAATTGTCTATAAATAATTAAATATGTTTATAGAAAACTTAGCAGTTTTTTCATTGGCTTTACTTGAGATCTACCAAGGTTTTCTCTCCAGCCATTTTTTTTTAAACCAGGAGTCAAATTTTGTTCATATTCCCTGCTCAATGCCCATATCAAGCTGTTCACAATCACATGATCAGTGGCATTTGATCAGTGGAGAAAGCTCTGAGGAGGCCAGAGAGATTTTTTTTAACTCCTTGTACAATGGAAAGTTACCTTTGGGATCTGAGAGGCCAACGTTTATTTCAGCCTAGTATTTCCAACATCCCAGTTATGTTTTGAACTCTGAGGTAGCAATATTGAGATGATTTGAAGGGTCCAGGGTGGTTTGCTGATGGAGATCAGTGACTTAATTTTTATACCCTTTTCTTTACTCTTATTTTTTATTGTTACAGAAGAAGCTACTATGGAGGAAACTGGGCCAGTTTTAGCTTTTCAGGAATACTGTCCTGGCTAAAGGAATACCAGGTAAACTTCTTAGTTGATTTTTAATCTACTAGGTTGTATTTTGTATCACATAGTAACCCTACATTAAAGGAAACGCTAAGCTTCTGTAATATAGAATTGACTCCTCATTTTTATTTATTTAACAAAAATTATGCAGTCATTTTTTAAGTTAATGTTCTTCCGATGCTTTCAAAATATAGATACCGCTTTTTAAATATACATAGACATGTTGGTTGAAGAGTACATCATATATACTTGATACCATTTTCTCATTACATTCCCAAATATAAGGCAAGATTTTTTTCTCCAAAATAGTGTTTCAGAAAAAAAATTTCGGTCCTTATAAAATCTCACATATTACTAGTTGCTCTTTCAGTAGTACATTTTGAGGAAAAAAAACCCCAGCTATTCGGCGGGGAAATACATTAATTTGAAATGGTCTGAGTCATTGGTGGTTTTGCATATTTATAGAAGTCATCTGACAGAATTAGTAAAAAAAAACAAGGAAAAATTTAATGTAAATTTAGTAAGTTTTTTTCTAAGTTAGGATCTCACTACTACAACTATTGGATATCATTGTAAAGAAGTTTTTTAGAGGACATGTATGTCATAGTAATATGGAGAGTTATGTCATGGAGTTTACTCATTTTTATGACAGATGAAAAAAAACTGTCCTAATTTTATGTGAATGGTATATGTGGCTTGAAATGAACTTCCTACTGAGAGCATCATACATGGAATCAAAAACTGCTATATCTCAAAAGCGTTTAGACAGTTGGAAAAGGAGTATGATATATTCTGGAAAATTGTATTCAGTTAGCTAAAAATAATATAACTAAGACTTATTAAGTACTTACCGTATGCCAAACACCACAATAAGCATTGTAGTTGTACTGATTAATTTATGCACTTAAAAAAGTGCTTCTAGTGATGACAAAGACATTGATGTTGAAGATACAGTGAAGATTCAGTTTGAATAATACTGTTGCATGAAATAAGTGTGGAGAAACAAGTAATATTTGGAAAATAATATTGCATGTAATACAAACTGTATAAATCAAGAAAGTAAATGTTACTAGTAGACATTTAGCTATTTTATGTGTGTGCCTTAAATATTCGTATATTTGTGTTGATCATTATTCCTAGGAAGTATGTGTAAGGGTTATCTTATTTAGTATATTTAGCATATTTAGTACTTCCATGAGAAAATTTAGTCTAGATGCTCACAAAAGAACAAAAATACCTCAGTTGTCTGAATGGAAAATTCTGGTGAGTGAGGATAATTTTTTAAAATAAATTTTGATACTAGGTTAGATTTATTAAAATAAAAATATTTTTGTAGATGTTTCTTTTATTTTAGTGCTGCTTCTACTCCAGCACCTTCTTTCTACCATATCCTTTTCCCCTTCACTCTTTGTGTGCTGATCCACAGTCTTTTCTTCAGGTTGGTAACCCCATGTCTACACATTCAGAGTTCCTGTATTTCACCTCCTTTTCTACCTATGTTGGGATGTTTAACACTATCTAATAATTACACTTAATAATAACAATGTCTGCCCTACTTTTCTTCAGTTTAAAATGTTAAATTCAGGAGAAAAAGGCCTTTTTATTTATTTGTTTGTTTATTTTTAAAGATTCTACCCATTTTTGACAGAGAGGTACAAGCAGGGGAAGCAGCAGGCAGAGGGAGCGGGAGAAGCAGGCTTCCCGCTGAGCAGGGAGCCTGATGTGGGACTCGTTCCCAGAACCCTGGGATCATGACCTGAGCCGAAGGCAGACGCTTAACCATCTGAGCCACCCAGGTGCCCCAAAAAGGCCTTTTTAAAGATTTATTTAAAAGAGAGAGAGTGCATGAGCTGAGGGAGGGGCAGAGAGAGAGAGAGGGGGGAAGCAGACTCCCTGCTGGGCACAGAGCCTGACCTGGAGCTTCATCCCAGGACCCTGAAAAAATGACCTGAGCCAAAACCAAGAGTTCGATGCTTAACTGACTGGGCCACCCAGGGGCCCTGAGAAAAAAAGCCTTTTAAAATAATTATCGTCCTACTTTATGAAATCTGTAAGTTTAGAAATTTCATGAGGTGAATTTACTTAAAACGAAGAATATTGTAGTTATATTTCACTACTAGTTCTTTGAGAATATATATTCAAAAATTTTTTTCTCTGAGAAATAGGTACCAAATAGTTTAAAATTTTAAGCAAATTAAAAATTGATCCTTGACATTTGGAAAAAGCATATCTTGACATTTCCAAAAATCCCCTGTATTCAGATATTGCTATGCATATAACTTATCTCCATAAAATGTAATTAGGAATTATTAAAAATTTTGAAGGGCCACTTTCAACCCTTATAAGTTTACATACGTTATCATACATTATTGTTTTTATTGTCTTTCTGAATATATTCAGAGGTTGATTATTATACAGTCCTTAGTTATAGTGGGCTGAATACTTTTCAAAAATACTTTTACATAAAATCAGAATTTGACATGGCTAGTGACTAACCTTCAAGGACCTAAAAGTAAGTAGAATGAAGTAATTGGGGGCCTGCTTTTGGACAACAAAATGCAAAAACTTTATTAATAACAAGTAATATGTATACCAGACACACTTGATTTTCAGCAGATAGAAGATTAGTTATCCTAGTTCTTAAGTAATGTCAAAACAGGCACATCCAATGACTGCATCAGAATGTCAGATATCCTGATAGAAAACTGTCAACCAGAGCTAACATTTGATAGGATAGGTTTTTACACAATTTTCTTCTCTTTGAAGATGGTGCACTATGCTAGAGTCACTTCAGAATTTTGATGGAATCAGAGGCAAAGTATTAATTGAGAAAGGTATACATTTTCACAAAAAAGTAGAGGTTCAGATTGTGCAATTAACATTTCTCATGTGTATTTTGTTTAGGAAAATAGTGATGTTGTGAATGAAAGCCCAGCATGGCAAGAGCAGATTCTTGAAAATGAAGAAGCCATTGTTCTTAGCAGGAAGGACAAAACCATTCAACATGTGGAAGTGTTTTGTTATGCCAGGTATGAAAAGTATTTATTTAGGATAAACTGAGTTAATGACTTCTTATTCACATCTATTCAGAAGAAGCCAACATGTAACGTTGGTTGCTAAACGTCAATTGATAAGATGGTTTGCCTTTTTTAAAATATAACTTTCAGTTTTTTCTGCTTAGATGATAATGATGATAATAACATGCCACATTAATGACTTGATTCTTACAACCATCCTGTGCTAGGATAGAGGAGGTAGTACTAGTTGCAGTTTTTATAGAATCCTCAGTATAGAGATTAATTTGTTGAAGGGAAAAATGGCTTGAAAAATGTCCAAACCACAGGTAGCCTAGATAGTTGTGGAGCCCAAGATCAAAACCCAGCATTATTTAATTCTGCTCCAGTGTTCTTCTAACTCTTCTTAGATAATATTCAGTCTAGCAAAATGGAAAATTATAATTTTGAAATAAAAACAATTGGCCATAATATTTGGGGACATATTTTCGAAATCAGGAGAGAATATTGGGAAGTAGTATTTTAAGTGTCTCTTTCTAAGTGAGAAAATTCATTTAAGTTTTTGTTTTCCAGTTAACATACACTATTATATTAGTTTCAGGTATACATTATAGTGATTCAACAATTCCATACATAGGTCACCAGGTGCTCATCACAGGTGCACTCCTTAATCCCTATGACCTATTTTACCCATTCCCCCATCTACCTCTCCTGTGGTAACAGTTTGTTTCTTGGTTTGCTTCTCTATTTTTTCCCTTTGCTCATATGTTTCTTAAATTCCACATGAATGAAATCATATGTTATTTGTCTTTTTCTCACTGACTTAATTTGGTAAGCATTTTACTCTTTAGCTCCATCCATGTCATTGAAAATGACAAGATTTCATTCTTTTTTATGGCTGAATAATATTCTTTGTGTATATATACCACATCTTCTTTAGCCATTCATCAATTGGTGGACACATGGGCTGCTTCCATATATTGACTGTTGTAAATAATGCTACTATAAGCATAGGGGTGCATGGTCTTTTTTTTTTTTTTAAAGATTTATTTATTTGAGAGAGCGAGAATGAGAGAGAGTACATGAGAGTGGGGAGAGTTAGAGGGAGAAGCAGGCTCCTCACTAAGCAGGGAGCCTGATGCGGGACTTGATCCCGGGACTCCAGGATCATGACCTGAGCTGAAGGCAGTCGCTTAACCAACTGAGCCACCCAGGCGCCCCAGGGGTACATGGTCTTTTAATAACTGTTTTTGTATTCTTTGGGTAAACTACCTGTAGTGGGATTGCTGGATCCTAGGGGAGTTCTATTTTTAACTTTTAGAGGAACTGTCTTACTGTTTTCCACAGTGGCTGCACCAGTTTGCATTCTCATCAACACTGCAACAGGGTTCCTTTTTCTCCACATCCTCACTAACACCTGTTGTTTCTTGTGTTGTTGATTTTAGCCATTCTGACAAATGTGAGGTGATAATCTCATTGTAGTTTTGATTTGCATTTCCCTGATAAGTGATAATGAGCATCTTCTCATGTGTCTGTTGGCCGTGTGGATATCTTCTTTGGAGAAATGTCTATTCATGTCTTCTACACATTTTTAATTGGATTATTTTTTGGGGGGTGTTGAGTTTTATAACTTCTTTATATGCTTGGGTTACTAACCCTTTATCATATATATCATTTGCAAATATCTTCTCCTATTCTGTGGGTTGCCTTTTTAAGTTTTGTTGATTGCTTCCTTCACTGTGCAGAAGCTTTTTATTTTGATGTAGCCTCAATAGTTTATTTTTCCTTTTGTTGCCTTGCCAGGGGACCTATCTAGAAAAAAGTTGCTGTGGCAGATGTCAGAGAAGTTAATGCCTGTGGTCTCTTCTAGGATTTTTACAGTTTAGGTCTCACATTTAGGTCTTTAGTCCATTTTGAGTTTATTTTTGTGTATGGTATAATAAAGTGGTCCAGTTTCATTCTTTTGCATATTGCTGTCCAGTTTCCCCAACACCATTTGTTGAAGAGACTTTTTCTATTGGCTGTTCTTTCCTGCTTTGTCGAGGATTAATTAGCCCTATAGTTGTGGGTCCATTTCTCAGTTTTCTGTTCTGTCCTATTGAATTATGTGTCTATTTTTGTGCCAGTATTATACTGTCTTGATCACTACAACTTTGTAATATAACTTGAGGTCTGGAATTGTGATGCCTCCAGTGTTGCTTTTCTTTTTCAAGATTGTTTTTTGCTATTTGGGGTCTTTTGTGGTTCCATACAAATTTTAGGATTGTTCGTTCTTGTTCTGTGAAAAATGCTGTTATTATTTTGATAAGGATTGCATGAACTGTGTAGATTGCTTTGGGTAATATAGACATTTTAACAACATTTGTTCTTCCAGTCCATGAGCATGGAATGTTTTTCCATTTCTTTGTGTCATCTTCATTTTCTTTCATCAGTGTTGTATAGTTTTCAGAGTTCAGATCTTTTGCCTCTTTGGTTAGGTTTATTCCTAGTTATCTTATTGTTTTTGGAGCATTTGTAAATGGGATTGATTCCTTGATAGCTCTTTCTGCCGTGTCATTGTTGTACAGAAAGGCAACAGATTTCTGTACGTTGATTTTTGTATACTGCGACTTTACTGAATTTGCATATCAGTTCTAGCAATTTTTTAGTGCAGTCTTTCATGTTTTCTGTATAGAGAATCATGGCGTCTGCAAATAGCGAAAGTTTGACTTCCTCTTTGTGCTGATTTGGATGCCTTTATTTTTTTGTGTTGTCTGATTGCTGATGCTAGGACTTCTAGTACTATGTTGAACAGTGGTGAGAGTGGACATCCCTGTCTTGTTCCTGACTATAGAGGAAAAGCTTTCACTTTTTCTCCATTGAGGATGATATTAGGTGTGGGTTTTTCATATATGGCCTTTATTTTGTTGAGGTATGTTCCCTCTATCTCTACTTTGTTGAGAGTTTTTATCATGAATGGATGTTGTACTTTGTCAAGTGCTTTTTCTGCATCTATTGAAATAATCATATGGTTTTTATTTCTGATATTGATCTGTATCATATTGATTGTACAGATGCTTTTAGAGGAACTGTCTTACTGTTTTCCACAGTGGCTGCACCAGTTTGCATTCTCATCAACACTGCAACAGGGTTCCTTTTTCTCCACATCCTCACTAACACCTGTTGTTTCTTGTGTTGTTGATTTTAGCCATTCTGACAAATGTGAGGTGATAATCTCATTGTAGTTTTGATTTGCATTTCCCTGATAAGTGACCAACTGGACCCACAACTATAGGGCTAATTAATCCTCGACAAAGCAGGAAAGAACAGCCAATAGAAAAAGTCTCTTCAACAAATGGTGTTGGGGAAACTGGACAGCAATATCTGTTTTTGAATGCAAAAACTGTATCATATTGATTGATTTGCAGATATTGAACCATATTGTTTTTATTTTCTTTTATTGATGTGAGTAAGAGAGTATCACCGTGTAATAGATCCTTAACATTCTTGTTGGCTACATCAAAAAATCTTTTTGATTTCCCTTTTGTAAATAATGAAAAATACAGTACAGGTTCTTGGCTTGTTGTTGCTTTTTTATATAAGCATTATCAATGATATTAATGTTACATTTTGTGGAGGTAGGGCATGAGTATGTGTTTAGTTTTCTATAATTTTAACATATATGTCAGGTCATGTATCTATCACCACAGTCAACTTACAGAAGTGAGCAGTTACATCACCCCAAGGATCTTTCCTGTTTCCATTTTATAACCATAGCTCATCTCCTTCCTACCATTTCCCCCAATTTCTAACTCTTGGTAACCGCTAATTTCCCTTCCAGCTTCATTATTTTGTCATTTTGAGAATGTTATGTAAATAGAACTGTATAGTATGTGACCTTTGGCCATTGACTCGTTTCACTTATTGTAGTTAACCTGCAGATTCATCCAGGTGGTTGCATGCATTAGTAGGTTGTTCCTTGTTATTGCTGAATAGTATTCCATGCTATGGACATACTAAAGTTCACTTATTCACCTGTTGAAGAACATCTGGGCTTTTTTCACTTTTGTCTGTTACAAATAAAGCTGCTATGAATATTTGTTTATAGAATTCTCTGTGAATGTAAGTTTTCATTTGTCTGGGATAAATGCCCGAGTGTATGATTGATGGGTCATATAGTAATTGCATGTTTAGTTTTAAACTGAAAAACTGTTTTCCAGGGGGGCTGTACCATTTTACATTTCCATCAGAATTTCATGATTCAGTTTCCCCGCATGCTCCCCAACATTTGATGTTTGCACTTTTTTTAGCCATTCTGATAGTTGTGTAGTGATATCTCATTGGAGTTATAATTTGCATTTCTCTTATGGCCGATTTTGAACATCTTTTCATGTGTTTGCCATTCTTACATCCTTTTTGTTGAAAATCTGTTCATATCTTTTGCTCGTATTTTAATTGAATTGGCTTTTTCCTGTGGATTTTTGAGAGTTCTTTATATGTTTTATATCTGTGTCCTTTGTTAGGTATGTAGTTTGCAAATATTTCCCCCAAGTCTGTGGCTTGTCTGGCATCCTCTTTAAGCAGGATATTTTGCAGGTGAAATGTTTTAAATTTTGGTGAAGTCCAATTTACCACTTTTTTCTTGGGTATAGATCCAGAATATTTTCTCCTGTTTTTCAAAAAAAATTATAGTATGTTTTATGTTTAATCCCGTGATCTACTGTAATTTTTATATAAGGTGTGAGGTTTAGGTCAGTGTTAATTTTTTTAACATAAGGTTATCCAATTGCTTTGGCACAGTTTGTTATAAAGACTGTTTTTCCTCCACTGAATTAATTTTCATATTTGTCAAAAATCAGTTGGCTGTACTTCGATGGGTCTATTTGTGGATTTTATATTCTGTTCCATTGATGTGTATGTCTTTTCCCACACCGATTCCACACTGTCTTGATTACTGCAGCTATATATTAGGACTTAAAATCAGGTAGAATAATTCCTCCAAATTGATTCGTTTTTGTCAGAATTGTTTATTTATT